TAAAGTGATTGTACTCTGAAATGTCTTTAACTAGGGTTAATTTGCTGCTTCTAACTAAGCTCAAATTGACTGCAGTGATCAATTAATTTGCTTACAGAAAGAGAGATGAATTTACGACACACGTTGAGGAAAGTAGGTCTGGTAAATCTAACACGAGCAGGATATTTTGGGAGGGGAACCGATCTTAGATCTTACTCTTGCTTCTATCTTTGTGTATTTCATGAACTGGCTCGCTAGTCATTTGCGGTAAATTCCCAGTAAGTCGTTCCTAGCGCTACAAATCTTTCTGATTAACTGTCAACTGTCAACTGCATATATTTTATGCCGTTTTCATGATCATTCTTGAATTATCTAGTTTAAGTGATTTGCAACTAAATAACTGTTTAAACTATTAGTTGCTTGACTGATTTTGTCTAGCGGCATATCAACCTCTAGATATTGAATGCTGAAATGTAAATCTTTTGAAAACAATTTTACGGCTTCAACTGCAGATGAAATATATGGATGGTCATTTTGCTATAAAATATATCATTAGATATTCTACTATAAAATGTATTGCTGATAATTTTGCTTTAAAAATATAATTTTACTATATGTATTGTCGGTAATTTCTTTATAAATAAATGTGTTGCTGGCATCTTCACCATAAAGATGTATTTTTATTCTTTCATAGTGTTTGGCGTTTATTTGGGGATTTACAATTCGCCCATAGATAGGACCCTAAGTGGTGCTACCAACCCGGGTCAGGATAGATCTTAGAACAACAGCAAATTTAGATGTGATTCCACGCTCCTCAAAACTTCCAGTCTCCCAATCAGAAGCCTGTAGTTTATCGTGAGACCCAGGACTAGTTTGAACTACTAGGTAACCATGATATATTTGGGGAGGATATTAGAATAATCCTGAGCATACACTAGCATCAAATCATCTGCATACGAATATAAAATGGATTCGGTTAATATACAAAAATAGAAATAAATTGGAGATCATACCGGGATTCAGCATTTGCGGCCACAATCTTAACAACATAAGATACACGGTACTGATAAGAGACACGGAAAAGAAATTAAATAAACCTCCTGCAGAAGGTAGCAAGGGAGAGCGAGAAGAAGGGACTAACCACAAACTACAAAAAGACAGAATGCAGGGTCATTAGTAAACGGATGAGCCTGAAATGCGATTTGCTTGTCGGGGAGGCTAAAATCAAACATGTGCGGAAGTTTAAATATCTGGGAAGTGTTGTGACGGAGGACGGTAGGTGAGACGCTGATATCCGATGATGGATTGGAAATGGCCAAGGATGCATTCCAAAAGTTTGGTCAAAATCGGTTTGATTGATCTCGAGTAACAAGATATCACACAGACAGACACAGACACTCAAACATCATCAGCGAATATACAAAAATAGAAAGGGGCGTAAGGCAAGGTTGTGTCTTCTCACCGGATTTATTCAACCTATATACAGCGAGACAATTCTGATAGAATTGGAGATCCTACCGGGAGTCAGTATTGTCGACCAAAATCTTACCCTCATAAGATACGCAGATGACACGGTACTGATAGCAGACACGAAAAAGAAACTACAAAACCTCCTACAGAAGATAACGAGGGAGAGTGAGAAGAAAGGACTAACTATAAATTACAAGAAGAGAGAATGCATGGTCATCAGTAAAAGTATGAGCTTAAAATGTGATTTGCATGTCGGGGACAATAAAATCAAGCATGTGCGGAATCTTAAATATCTGGGAAGCGTCTTGACAGAAGACTGTAAGTGCGACATTGAGATCCGTAAACGTATTGGGATGGCCAAGGACGCATTTCAAAAGCTGGGCATAGAACTACGAGACAGGAGGATTTGGTAACAAAAAAAAAGAGTACTGAGCTGTTACCTGACATATGTCCTCCTTTACGGCAACTAATGTTGGACGGTCTCCTCAAAGATGAAGAAGAGACTCGAGGCTGCGGAGATGTAGTTCTACAGAAGGATGCTAAGGATATCATGGAGCGAGAGTGTGAGCAACGATGGGGGTATTGGAAAGGATGCAAACAGGGGGGAAGCTTATACTTAACATAAGAAAGAGGACGATATAAAAATCTGGGACACGTAATGAGTAGGAGGGCCTGGAGAATCTGATACTCACGGGTCGAATAGAGAGAAAAAGAGACAAGGGAAAGCAAGGCATAACATACCTGGCGGGCTTAAGCAAGTGGATGGCAGAACGTGGTCTGTGGGAGGTGGCAGAGGCTCAAAATGTATTGGGAGCCACAAGGGATAGGGAGAAGGGGAGAGCCATGATCGCCTAGGCCCTGAAAGAATACAGCACATAAGAAGAAATAAAGAAGTATGACATGAATATGTCTTCTCACTTATTCAACCTAGACATCGAGGCGATTCCGAGAGAATTAGATGTCCTACCTGGAATCATTATTGCATGTCACAATCCTAACAACAGAAGATATTATGATATGGACAAAATCCGACAATTATTTTAAGACATTATTATATTTATACATTCTTTTTATAGATACAAATATGTAAGTAAATGCTCTGTTTTATAATAAACAGTATTAAACAACATTTCCCGGCTTGAATGTCTGAGAAATTTTCACAGAAATTATTCGTTCTTCGACAAGAATCAAACCTGTATTCTATACAGAACCGTCATTTAGCCTGACGTGCCTTAACCGATCGAGCCACTTCATAATGTGTGACGTCATTTGTTTACATCTGGATACGCTTTGAGCAAAATATGAATGTACGTGAGATATTCATGGAAGATTGAAGTTTAAAAGAAGTAAAATCAAGTTTGCCAATCGATCTGTTAAGGCACGTCAGGCTGTATGACGGTTCCGTATAGGATATATTTGAACTTTATATATATATATATATATATATATATATATATATATATATAATTCCCGAATCATTTTCCTACTTACTCAACATAAATATCGCCCTTTCTAACATTCTAACTTTCTGTTTCGGAATAACAAGCTTCCTAACAGTTTTCATATACGATTCCATTTTCAAGTCTTTTTTCACTGCTCCTTGGACTGTCATGGCTGAAACTCAACTCTCACGTGCCAAAAGTCCTATGCATTGAGTTGGATCTTTTCTTATTGACCTTTGTATTTCTAACTTGAAATGATGATCTCTCTTCCGGCTCTGACCGTCCCGATCCAGTTTTCCTCTTTATTGTTCTCTATTTTTTGAAACTTATTCACTGTTCTCTTGATGTTTCGTGAAAGGACTTTAAAGATGGAAGTCAGAATAAGAATGTTGCTACCATTGCTAAAGGCTCAGTTGCGAAGACAAAACAATTTCAATTTACTCTAGTTTTAGCAGAATGACTCAAAGTGTTTTTCAGTGATTCATATGACAAATTTGGCGTCAAGATGCCTAAACCTCTCATCTGAAAACCTGGAAAAAAGAAACTCAATTGGTTTATATATTTGCGGGATGGACAATTATGCTGTTACACGAATTTGGATAATTTTGGTGTTATACCCGATGCCTATCTATCTATCTATCTATCTATCTATATATATATATATATATATATATATATATATATATACAATTGGTATATATTCCATTTAACCTAAAATACTATTTTTGTTCTGAATCGAATAAATAATATGAATATATTTATATAAATAGATTATAACCGAGTCTGTGGATTTTTATTTTTTTTTTTGAATCGAGTAATATGAATATATTTATGAAATAGATTATAACACACACACACACACACACACACACACACACACACACACACACACACACACATATATATATATATATATATATATATATATATATATATATATATATATATATATATTTATATATATTAAAATAATAAGAAAGAACAGTAAGATTTACAACTGGTGTTCTTGATAATCATTTAATTTTTTTAAAAAAACAGTGCTCTATACATAAACCGTAGAGCATAATATTGTGATCATTTACTATTTTCAAAATATGGTCCCATTGCTACGCAGGAAGTACCATGTTTCAAAACAAAAAATTAATTTTTTTTAAATTTAATTCTAAAATTAAATTAAAAAACAAATTGAACAAATTTGAAAAAAACTTCTTAATAGGTTATTCCAAAAGTCGCTTCAGAATAGAATAAAGATGCGCATTTTAAATTTAATTTTATAATTAAATTTAAAACTTTTAATTTCTGTTTTGAAACACGGTAATTCTTGTGTAGCGATGAGACCATATTTTAAAAAGAGTATATATATATATATCTGTCTATATTTCTGAGATCAGGGCAATTTTGGAAAATTAAAAAAAAATAATAATATATATATATATATATATATATATATATATATACTCAGTATTTACATTAGTCGGACTATTGTCCTCATCATATATATATATTATTTTTTTTTTTAATTTTCCACAATTGCCCTGTCTTTTTGTATTATTTCCTCCTTTAATACATCTAACTTGATATTCATTTGTCTTATTTTCACTTAATGTTATATATGTAATGTGATTCAACAAAAGGATGCCGAGAATAAAATTGTCTGAACATATGAGTAACGACGAAGGAAATGGAAACAAAAACACATACTTTACATCACCAAGAGACAGTTTAAATTTCTTAAAGCACATAATGAGGAAAGATGGTCTATGGAAAAGATTGGAGGTAGGAG